ATAAAACATCAACAGGTTCGTGACAACATATATGTGCATGTGTAAATCACTAACGAACTCTACAACATACAAACATGACATACAAATCGATACAGTAAGAATGCAAAATGCGGTAATTATTAAGATCAGATTGTACCCAGCGGAGGGTCCCATGTCGAGGGCATCGGAGGCTCCATTCGCATTAGTCGACATAGTGCATTGCTCGAAGTCGTGGACCACAGTAAATGCAGGACGGTGTTCGCAGTGCAGCGCCACGAACGGATCACCAGGAAGAAGACGCCTTGCTGTTCCGCAAGCAATCACCGGGAAGAAGACGGGTTCCGAGAGCGATCACCACTAGGAAGATGGCGTGCGTGGACAAGCAGTCGCGGATCACTCCCAAAAACCTAACCGCCGCTCACCCCGTGCAAGGTTCTTAGGCGACGAGGGTTCTAGAGGCACCTGCTCTCCCGCTACTCCGTGCGCGCAGAGGTACAGGACGGGGAAGCCAGAGGGCTGCTGAGATGTGGTTTCTCTCGGGAACGGTTGTGGAGAGGGGGAGGGACTGACGGAGGACTGCGGATATATGGCTGCGACGGGGAGGGAGAAAGGCAGCGGAGAATCCCAGAAGACGGAAAGCGGAACGGATGGTAACAGGTGCAATCAATTCGCCTCCACCATTAAGGAGAGAAACTCCCGTGATTATGTGGATTTAAATGGCAAAAGACTGGCCACGCACGCCCGCCTGCCACGGCCCGGCCGGCGGCAGCGGCGGCGCGCGCGCGTGTGGCACGCCTATATCATTTTCTCAGCTTCTCAATTAAGATGAATAATTTCCAACCATATAAGGTGAGTCAATGTTCAGTCAAAATCCTGTATGGTATTAAACCATACAATGTTTAATGTTACGTACCATAGAGTTTTATTTGATTTATTAAATATTATACGGGCCAAGCCCATAATATATCCAACAGTTATGGTTGCTTGTCTGCAAAATAGTTTGTGTTTCTAGTTACACATTCGAATTTCCCACTAAATAAATTAATTCATAACACTGCAGACAATATATAATTCCTGTCAACCCATCACTACCAAATGTACATAAGGCGATGTGATATAACTTCAATGTCGGGTCATAAACTTAGGACCGAACAATGATTAGGGATCATATTAACCCAGCAATGAAGCCCTCTATCATTGTTGGGTTGAGCCAACAATGTTGGTATCAATGTTGGTACAGAACAAACCAACCGTGGTATGCCACTATTGGGTCATGGCTTTACCTAGCATCGCCAGCATGACATCATTACCGGGTTTTGGGTTGATCCGGCAATGTGTTCTCAATTCACTTACAGAAAAAGCCTTCTTGGCTAGGTCAATCATAATAATATGCATGGTTGATAACCAATGAGATTGTTAATATAAACTTAGTTGTATGCTAGATACTAGAATAGTGTAGCACACCTTTGCACTTGATCACCACTTAGTGAGTGCTCTAATCCATGTTATGTCCAGGATTAAGACTAGTAAGCTTATAGTGTAAACATGATGTCTAGATTATAGTTTACCTATGGTTGCGGCTTACCCACCAAATCATTATGATAGCTAGTAGGTGATGACTGCCATGCCTACGTAGTCCATCACAATCAGATAATTTCTTAAAACGTAGCCTATGTAATGGATATGATTTTTCTAAGTCAAACTAGACTTGACTAAGTTTTAGAAAAGAATATTAACATTTACTACATCAAAGAGATAAATTATTATAAAAATATGTTTCATGTTATATGCTTATTTGATATCATAAAAATTGGTTATTTTCTTTAAAAATAATTAGAGTTAAAACAATTAAGAATATAGTAGTAGTATTTGTTTCTATGGACTTTCGGTTCTTGGGACTCATGCTAAGGTCATTCCAAATCTAATGTAGACCTTTAATTTATTCTCTCTTTTGTACTGTATAAAGTAGCTAAAGGTCACATAAAAGTTCTTTTCATACCAATTATGGTACTCTTTCTATCTAGAGGGCCAGCTCTCACGTGAAGAATTTTGCGCTTTTAGCCCGTGTTTGGTCGTAGGAAGTTGGAAGAATTTTGCGCTTTTTTATTTTGGCAATTAGTGTTTCTACTAATTTGGCTCAAAATGTTGCTTGACTGTAATTGTTTTTTTTTGGTCTACGGTCATTCGATGCGATGAGTCTGTAGAAGACTTTTTGGGATTTTGGGTGAAACTGAACACGTGCTTAGTTTGTTTCTATTGGTGTGCTTGACTGTTGTGGACCTTGTGGTCCCGTCATTCGCCAGTAGCCTTCCAAGGTCACCCATCCTGTTTAGCATGGGCCGCATAGAATGGTTATAACCTATACTTCCTTTGCTTTAAAATATATTTGCGGACTGATCATAGATCAGTTCGTTGAGTTCTTTGTGGTGACATAGGGGTAGGGTTTGCGTACGTGTGTTCATAGGGGGTAAATGTGCGTATGTGTTGTTGGCGTAATGTGTAATTCTAAAAAAAAAAAGATATTTTAGCGCTTTTAAATGAATCGATTTTCTAAACACCTATATATAGTACCAAATTAGCTCAGCTAAATCTACCATTCAATATATTCTATTGAATATTTTTTGGTCTTAATCTCTTAAAAATGGCACTATATTTTTTTTGTATAAATTTAGTCAAATTTAAAGACATTTAACTTATACTAAACCTAAACACCGCACATATATGTATCTAACGTGGGTTTTACCTTGGATTAGAGTTACTACATTTTTTCTTAATGAGTAGGACGCTTTGGATAATGACACCTTCTCTTGCAACATTCAGATTTAAGAACTGTCAAAGAAACATTCAAGATTTAAGTAGTAATTCTGTACGTTGATGAAGACGTGATTTTTGAAAAAAAAACATACATCATGAAAATATTTCCTAATTGGACGGGGTAGAGCATATAAACATTGGAATCGCATCTTCCATTGTCTTCTGATTGATATCGACATGCGAACTGACAAGATAGTGGTAGTGTAGCTGGAGCGCAACTCAGTAGCTGTCTGAAAAAAAAATACACTGAAAATACACGTCCGTTTCATTTCATCGAGGAGATGGACTGATGGAGACAGGCCAACGGAGGTCAGAGGATACCATGGACCAACGTCCAACGGCTCTGCATATTTGGATTTGCTCGGTGGAAGCTCGGCGGCACGCAGATCCTGATCGAAAAGGAATTAGAAAGAACGTACATACAGACTCTGTAGCTGTTCATTCCAATGAGATATGAGAAGCTGATGTTCAGATACATACAGACTCTGTAAAGAACATACTAGTATCCCATGTCCAGATACATACAGACTCTGTAGCTGTTCATTAAAGAACATACTAGTATCCCATGTCCAGATACATACAGACTCTGTAGCTGTTCATTCCAATGAGAAGCTGATGTTTTTTGGAGTTAGCTAACACCTTAGGAATCTTTTTTTTTGTTATTATATAAACAAAGCACTGCTCGGTTGTCCTATACGAAAATAAGATCGGCTACGTGCCTACGTTCAGTTGTGCTTGCTGCGGCAGCAAAGCAGACAGCCACCGTAATAAACAAAGCAGAGGTGAACAGGGCCCATCAGATGGTCCGTGCAGGTATTTCCAAGCGAAAAAACAAGTATTTCTGCCCTCGAGAAGGACAACTGTTTAATTTGCCTGTTTTTGGCGTGGATAAACACATGCTCTGATGCTCTAGTCAATGAGTTGTTTGATGGTCACTAGGGTACTTGGGTCTTCCGATGCTGCGCTGAGCTGTTGAAACTTTATTCGATCAGACAACGAGACTCAAAAGATCCATCTCGTGATTTACAACCAAACCTGTGAATTAGTTATTTTTTACCTACATTTAAGTGGTACGTCCAAAAATTATTGACTCGAGTGAAAAAGCTGAATTTTGATCTAAACAGGAGGGTCGGCACATGACTGCATGAGCTGTTGAAACGAGGCAGACAACGATAAACCTTGTACCTTGGAAACTGCTACAAGTGGTACAGCACAGATTGACTCGATCGTAGCTGTACTTTATCACAGGATGTCGGCACAGACAACATGGGCCTCTCGTAAGCAAAACTTGAGAGCTGAAATAATCTAGCCTCGTTTCCTGTCATGGGCATCACCACTGCTTTGAGAGCTGAGATTACAATCTAGCCTTTTTTTTTTTTTTGGGTTGGGGGGGTCTTCTGTTAGATTCTTGCCAATCAAAAAAAGTTTTGCTAAATTTTGTACCAAATAACAGCACCACTTATTGTCTCCTGGCAATTGGCATGTTCAACACAGGATCTTCTTCATACCCAAATCAGAAAGAAAAAAAACTGACATAACAGTAACATCTAACAGATGCCCTCTCGTAAGCAAAACATGAGCAAGCAGTGCTGATGCACATGACAAAGAAAAAGCCTGATTTGAATCTATCCCCTCCACAACAGCAACAGCAGAATCTACATAGAAAGCAACACCGCCTTCTGCGAGTTGTTCTTACTATTACCAACACCATCTCGGCACAACAAATGTGAAACTGTAACGTCGATACCCACATTAAGGGGTATTACTACAGCATCTCTAGAATGAGAATACATACATTAGTACATCGTATGTAACCCTTCTAAATGCTAACATTATCCAAGAGGGTGATGGTAATCTAGCACTTTCTGATATACTAATATATACTACCAAGTTCGATAGTTTAAATAAATACGATAAATGTAATAAAAACGATCTGCCGAACTAGTACTGTCTGCCAGCGAAGCTCTATGTCCTCCCTCTTCCATGGATAAAACAGCAATACAACATATTGTCAAAAACATTCAAATGCCCTCGGAATGAGCCACAAGGCAAGGTGAAACTCAGCAATCTACATGTCGGATGATGTTACCTGGATAAGAAAGATTAATATATCGATAAGTGATACGAGGCAACAGGCATAAGAGTAGGTGATGACTTGATAGTTATCCTACCAATTTATATACTTGGCACCATCTTTGCTGTATATCCTACTCTGCAATTTTGTTATTCCGATTCCTGCAGAAGTGAAAAAAAAGCGCAATGAGATTTACAATCACAAATTAGCAAACTGGAAATGAACACAGCAGGTGACACATACGCTTGGAATGAATGGATATCCTTGCGAAAGTTCTCTAGTTCCTCTGGGTTAAACCAGCCATCATCAAGCTAAGCCACATTGATAAAACAGATTAGTTAAACATTTGAAAAGGCAGTAAAAGAAGAGGTATAAAGGCAGAAACAGATGACACACCAGCTGGGTGAAATCTTCTTCCAATCTTTTGTTTTCAAGAACTTCTGCCAGTTTTTTGTTTTGTAGAAAACAGTGGATGAAATAAAGAACATAAATTCCACATTCATCCCCATTTTGCTGTGGCACCTGCAAAGTTGTTGAAGAGAGTACCATAAGAAGTCTAAGATTTAGAAGCGAACAGGGTGATAATGGGTAAGAAGATGCCAAAGGAATACCTTGGGAAACTCGAGGCGGATATTGTTTATGAACTGCTTGCTTTCTTCCCGCTCCTCAGTCTTGTAAATGTCAGCAATGAATCTAGGATACCAGTACCAGAAATTAAATGCTAGTAAAATGAACATATTCTAAGCAAAATTTAGTGTGTAAAAAAAATGGTTGAGGTCATCTAAGGAAACACAAAAAAGTCCAAAACTATTTTGTCAAGGGTCAGATAATTGCGATATGATGTAGCAATGTTTGGATTTGATGTGGCTTAATCTGTGAGTTTGTTATCATACTCACATTTCTATATATACAATTCAGCCATCGCCACGGAAGGCTCACTAGTTTTCAGTTTCAGAGGTATATCATTATGGAACAATTTGCATGAGACAACAGGAAGACATGTGGAATAATTTGCTGTCTGTCGAAAAACACATGAGACAACAGCCGGAAGAGCGAGCGGGCCGACCTCTTGGTCTGTTTGTAAGAAACAAAAATGGCAAAACAAAAAAGATCCAAAAGAATAGCAAAGCTGTTTTCAATATTTGAATCATGCTTCTTGAACAAACATAATGCTGCAGCCAGTAGGCATAACCACACCAAATCAAAATATCTATAATATTCTCAAACAGATATTAGACCGGCTATGTTGTATGGAGCAGAATGTTGGTCTACAAAGATTTGACATGTTCAACAACTGAGTGTTGCAGAAATGCATATGTTGTGATGGATTTGTGGTCACACAAGAATGGACCGAGTTCGGAACGATGATATACGTGATCGCCTAGAGGTAGCACCAATTGAAAAAAAACTTGTCCAACATCGGTTGAGGTGGTTTGGCCATGTCCAAAGGAGACCTCCAGAGGCACCAGTGCATTGTGGAGTCCTAAGCCAAGCTAATAATATGAGGAGAGGTAGAGGAAGACCGAAATTGACATGGGGAGGCAATAAAAAGATATTTGAAAGCTTGGGATATACCTAGAGATCTATGTTTGAATAGAAGTACTTGAAAAGCAGCTATTGAAGTACCTGAACCGTGACTTGGGGCTCTTGGTGGGTTTCAACTCTAGCCTACCCCAACTTGCTTGGGACTGAAAGGCTATGTTGTTGTTGTTGTTGTATTCTCAAATAGATATTGCAATTATTATTTGGAAGTTCAGAAAGGGAGGATTAGAGGAGCATACTTTCTGATTGCTGATCGCAACCTTGTCGGATCTGTCGTATTGAGTGAGTCCAGCACTATCATCCGTGGTCCTTTCTTAATATCCGAGCAGTTTGCATCATCAAAGTGGCATAAGATAAGGAGGCTCCAGTGTCCACTGCCATAAAAAAGAAGGGTGAAAATTTGATACATATCTGGCAGTTGATTGAGTGAATACACAAGGTAATTATGAGAGTAACTCACAAACAAACAATAGGAACGAACACATATTGTCTTGAAAATATTCTCTTAGACTTTATCCATTTAAGGACATTGGGTTTATTACTCTCATGGTAATACATGTTAAACCATAAGGAATCCAAGTACGCATAAGCACTCTTCTTATCTTCATCAATGTGCTTCCAAAGATCCCTGTGCAAGAAGTTATTGCAGCAATAAGAATACAAATTTCTTCAGAAGACCAACTAACAGGAAAAGTAGAAATAACCAGCACCACATACTCCATGTATAATTCAAAAATATCAGTATTCAGCTTGTCTTGATTTGCCTCGTTCCTCCTGCTAGTTCCATGGCGTGAGACTCTTCTCTGTGGGAGGTTAGCATAAAAGGAAGGTAATACATTTTTGGGTCTCCCAGATGTCTTCAATGTTGTTGTTCTACTTGTTCGAGAACGCTTGCTCTGACACTCTACAAATGGACACAGAAATTCCATCAGAACTAGAATAAGAAAAAGCCTGGGGGAAAGACCTCCCCGGTGTTGCACTAAGACAAACTAACTCGTCTGCAGGATCAAGAAAACGGCCTGAACCCAACTACCAGGATATGTGACTAACTGCCAGGATGTGCCTGCGACGCATACTTCTCAGTCAGTGGACCACATATTTCACTGCAATAGCGACGAGGGGAATTACTTTAACCCAACCCCAAGAATCCGCTCCCACAGGGACTCAAACCTGGACCTGATGGGTGCTACTCATAGTTTAAAAGGCGGTTAGGCGTCCAGGCGAGTGCTTGGTACGCCTGGACGCCTAGGCGACGCCTAGGCCACAAGGCGCCACTGTTTCCCAGGCGAGCTGGGTACGCCTGGACGCCTAGGCATCGCCTAGGCGATGCCTAGGCGACGCCTTGAAAACTATGGTGCTACTAAGTCACTACAACCACTAGGCTAGTCGGCTGCAGGCCCATTCACTTAAAACTCAAATACACATGCATAATTTATTTTGTCAACCATGTTCTAAGTTTGCAGTTAGTGTTGCAAAAGTGTAGCTACCAATCCATCACTTAGCATTTACTTTGCATAATGTATAAGTGGCTCTGCCATTGGTACACCACACAGGGTTCTTAAGGTGGTATGGCAAAATGAGGCATGGCAACTCACCCCCTTACAAACTAGGTACTTTTGGGGCAACCCGACACTGTACCACAGTGTGAAACAGCAGATCGACAGCAAATAGGAGGAGCGAAAAAACAAAGACAAAAAAGGGGTGGGTTGCACTGTCCCATCTGCCCAATCCCCCAACACACACATACACACACAAATTCTACTGCCCACCTGAATCTTTCCCACACATATGATGAGGACATCAACACCAACGATACATCCACGCCGCCACAAGTACCAGTTTCTAGTCCTATTACTCGCGCCCGTGCTCGTCAACTTAATCATCAAGTAAGTTCACTCTTGAATTCCTATCCATCATATTTAGACCATGGAGACGCGTGCACTCTTGTTTTGGTTAGGAACCAGAGAGAGGACCGAAAGGGAAAAGGATTCGTGCAGGCTGGATTCGGACTCCAGGACAGCTCCAACTTGTGATGGTAACCACGGTCGCATACGAACTCGGATTGGGGCATTCAAGTACTTTATGGAATCCTTATGAAGTCTATTTTCACATTGATCTGGAATCAAGTCCATATCTGTTCTGAGGCGGCCGCAATGACCGAATTACTACCGAGAGGTTTTCTGTCCAAAGGTACCGCGTCGCCTTAGTTTGGCCCAATGGGTCGTGTATCAAGTCGGGTCCATTAGGGACGCGTCCTAGGGTTGGAACACGACCCCAACACCCTGGTGGTCGTCCCTCCACCTTCATATACCCCTTAGCCGCCACCAAGAATAGTTAGGTTTTGTTTAGATCAAGTTTAGCTCTCGCTACTTGCTTGTAAGCGCGCGTGCTAGATCAGCCGTCCGTCTTCTTGTCTCCGGAACCCCACCTTATTTGAGATTGAGTTTGAAAACCTTCATCTTCATCTAGTAAATTCAGTACTTGTTATACTTGTTCTTGCTAGTTCTTCGATTGCTTGCAGGACGAGTGCCCTAGTGGCCGGGTGACGCGCTCCACAAGATCGCGGCAGCCATTGGAGGTGGTGTATCGGTTGCTAAGGCGTAGCTTGGAAGGCTGTAGTCGGGCCGTGAACGTCATCTCCATCCACCAATCGAGTTATCCCACGCCCTCTCATCGAAAGTTCGGGATTCAACCCTAGCGGGTTCATACCAACATAGTTCCAAGTTCATGGAGCATGCTCCTAGACTTGATTTGTGCCTCTCCCCTTGTTCTCATCTGCAGGGCCGTGTTCCTATCATTTGCACTCCTCCCATTGTTGACCTGCGAGTACCTGCTCCACCTCACTTCACCGCCACCTCAGATACAATGCCACTGCAGCTTCATGATCTGCTGCTGGCAGCTGACTGGACAGTGTGCTGCAAGACCCACTGGCACCTGATCTGATTGGTATGGCAGATCCATGGGTGCGGTCGCTGATTGGCATTGCTGGCTGTTTTCTTCCTCTTTATACTTCTGTCCCCTCCCTGTCTCCATCTCAGATCCCCTTAAGTGCTTTGTCACCTAAGTGAAACCTTAAGCAATAAATTTCGAACCACAAGCAATAAATTTGCTTTCTCAACTGTTTTGTTAGTCTTTAGGAAACAGCCAAGAGAAAATAAGATGGCATCAAGCCAAAAGGCAAACAAGGCATCATGTTTAGGCAGATTGCTGAAGGCCTCTAACAGATCAAGTTATTCAGAGATAATGGTAAAACTCTGGTTTGAAATCAAGGAAAACAACTAATCCTTTCTTTTGGCATTCTACTTTTGCTCCAGGATTTATTTCTTGTTTCATCTTTGCAACCTTGCATTACAAGAGTGCTATCCATACTTGTCAATTCCATTCTGGGGGCCATTCCTGTTGGCCACTGGTATGTGTAGAGAATTAGATGTAGAGAATTAGGGGAACACCTCACACCCAATTAGGGGGGGTGACTTTCATATATGTAACATGTCAGTAGCAGATCATGCTGGAGTATCTAGAAATTAATATACAAACTGATAATAAACCAATCAATAATACAATACAACCTACTCCACCTGCCCTGAAAAGAATACAATTCAAGCATAGTACCAAGTCAATCAATCAAATCAAACCATATAAAAGTATTAACATTTATGATACTTGATAAGTATCATTGGATTCGTCATGGTATGTATTTTCATAGTATACCTGTTAGAGATATGTATTCACACAACACTCTTCTCCCTATCTATGCATAAATGCATGCACACGTGCCGCCTGGGTTCTCCCCATAGGTGTGCCACCAGGGGTCTCCCCCTGTGTGTGTGTTCAAACTTAGGCCTTTATACATTGCTATATATATTTGTAACCCACAAGGTTGCAATAGGCCAGCCCAAGAACACTTTATGGCTTGTGCTGCATCCAAATTAGGGGAATCGGTAATTTAGCCACCTTTCTTGAATGTGCTAAAAAAAATGAGGAACCAATAAACTAATAGGCAGCAATTACACCCTTAGAATAGAGGACAGGCAACTAACTGTGAAAACTAATATCCTCGAACTTCACTGTTACACCAAGTAGGGCCTAATTTTCCAAAAGAAAAGGGAGTTGAAAAGGAAAAAAAACACAGGGTAGATGACCAAATCTTGTAAGCTATTATACCAAGATATAAAAGGAAACGAACTATGAACTCAAACTTAATGTTTTAATTCTTAATAGCTGTGAGAGGTAACTGTGGCCTGAGGGTGCTTAGTCCTTGATGGTCTATTTTGATTATGTGACCATGCTGCGGCAAATTATGTGGTACATGTACTATAAAGCAGGCACATTTAGGGGTGCAAGATGCATGGAAACTGTAAGCAACACATTAAAACAACAGCAGCAGTGATGCTCTGTCCACTAAATGATTAACATATACAAGCACCAGATGACAAAATTGAACCATACACCAAATGATTAGCACGATTCCACAATGTCCAATCATGACAAGAACAAACGCTGCTGAGAGGCAAGGGCAAGGTGTAGAAATGAACCTTTATAAAAAGATTATGCAAGCTGTACGCGCTTTAACGACTTCGATTTAGAGCAAGAGATACTGTAAAAGGCAGCAAGCAGCACCACACATGCTTTGCACGAAATCCTCTCCTTTTTACACTAGGGGTGGAACTAGACCATTTTGGTGTTGTCACTTGACAGGAATGAATTTTTAAAATCCAAGTCTAATGTGTTGTTAACCTAAGACAAAACAAAGACTAATGATCACATTTTAAACACCAGATACACTGATGATTATCACTCTAAATCCACCCCTGTTTTAGACAATAATTAAAAGAAAGATCGACAACAGCACATATATAGGATTACAGGTTTTGTATAAGAGAGTATGGAGGCACACCCAGGAACCCTGTACATTTCCAGAAGACCGACCATGACGCAATAATCTGTTCCAGACATACAGCAACGCCCGGAGAGGATGTAGCCCAAAATCTGAGGCGAAATACACCTACGAACCCTCTCAATTTCTGCCAATCTAAAGAAGAAGCCAGCATTCACTCCTAAACCCGCACAGAGCAATGAATCAGGCACCAGACAACCAACAGACAATCCAAAGCGCAGCGCAGCCGTGCAGCAGCCAACCCAACCACACCTCCACCGCGCCAGCACATCAAGAAGAGCACCCCGAGCGTCACAGCACATGGCCCGAAACAGCGCAGCACAGCGGAGGGAAAGGGGAGATTTTGGGGGGGCGGGGTGGCGGAACGCCTCACCGTCTTCGGCGTCGCTGTCGAGGTCGATGAGCTCCTGCCCCTTGTCGCGCCCGCGGCGGGGCATGGCTGCCTGCTCCCACCCGCTCGCCGCCAGGGAAATGGCGATCGCCTTCTCTAGGGTTTGGCCCGGCGGATTTGGTTGGGGGGTGGCAAGGCGAGGAGCGGAGGAGGGAGATCAAAAATTTTGGGGAGAAGCGGGTTTTGCCTTTGCAGTTTGCTTTCGTCTTCCTTCCCTCACCGCACCTGCCTTTTCTGTGCAAGGACAGGGGGAGCGGTAGTGATTCGACACGTGGACAAACCAGATGTCACTCGGGTTTGGCGGGCGCGCGGGGCATGCCGTTGGATCTTTATCTAGGACTGTTTTCTTCCTCATTATATTTCTGCCCCCACCCCTCCCCTGGCTCCCTCTCAGCTCCCCTTAAGGCCTTAAGTGCTATGTCACTTAAGTGAAACCTTAATTTTTTTTATGGAACCACAAGCATAAATTTTCTTTCTCAATTGTTTTGTTTTCTTTAGGAAACAGCCAAGAGAAAATAAGATGGCTAAGCATATATTTCAAACAACCCCACCCCCCCTGGCTCCCTCTCAGCTCCCCTTAAGGCCTTAAGTGCTATGTCACTTAAGTGAAACCTTAATAAACACCATGGAACCACAAGCAATAAATTTTCTTTCTCAATTGTTCTGTTACTCTTTAGGAAACAGCCAAGAGAAAATAAGATGGCTAAGCATCAAGCCAAACAAGGCATCATGTTTAGGCAGATTACTGAAGGCCTCTAACGGATCAAGTTATTCAGAGATAATGGTAAAACTCTGGTTTGAAATCAGGAAAACAGACGAACCTTTCTTTTGGCATTCTACTGCTCCAGGGTTTATTTCTTGTTTCATCTTTGCAATCTTCCATTATAAGAGTGATAACCATACTTGTCAATTCCATTTTAGGAGGCCATTCCTGTTGGCCACTGGTATGGTACATGTCAGTAGCAGATCATGCTGGAGTATCTAGAAATTAATATATAAACCCATAATAAACTAATCAATAATACAATACAACCTACTCCATCTGCCCTGAAAAAGAATACAATGCAAGCATAGTACCAAGTCAATCAATCAAACCATATAGAAGTATTAACATTTATGATACTCGATAAGCATCATTGGATTCATCATGGAATGTATTTTCATAGTATACCTGATAGAGAAATCCATTCATACAAAACTCTTCTCCCTATCCATGCATAAATGCATGCACCACGTGCCGCCTGGGTTCTCCCCGTCGGCATGCCACCTGGGGTCTCCCCTGTGTGTGTTCACACTTAGGCCTTTATACATTGCTATATATATTTGTAACCCACAAGGTTGAATTTTTTATTTTTCAACCCTTTTTTGAAAAATATTCACAAATAGATTTCTGGTGGTTTGATTTTCGTTTATGGACCCTGACCTCGGCGCCATGACCAATGGCGCCGAGGTCTTGGCGAGGCGTTGGACATAGCGGTGGCCTGACGTCGACGTGGATATGTCCTCGACGCCATAGGTCTTGGCGCCGAGCTCGGCGCCGTAGATCTTAGCGTCGAGCTGTTACCCTATAAATCTTGGCGTTTGAAATGAAACAAGTATAATTGTTTCAATGAACATGTACCAATGTCATTGCAGTTTAGCTGGTTAGAACGCGCGCGACTTAGCTCAAAAGTCTGGGTTCGAACCCAGCGCTGAATTTTTTTTTGCTACATTTTTTATAAAAATACATGGGAGTGGACAACTGCTTCTCCTTTCCCCTCGTAATCCCTATGCTAATCCCTCGGCCCTCTGCTAGTCCCACCCTCGCGTCGCCTCTAGAGACGATGGTTTTCCAACAGCCTGCTCAAGATCGCGCAGTCTTCCACGGAGTCGTCTCAGAGTATGGCAGGAGATGTCAAGTTGCTCAAACGTTTTGAATAGCATGCTCACCTGCGTCTATTTTTGAGAGGCAGCTGCACAATCACAGAATCCAGCGGAGCGCGGAAGAGTGCAAATCCCATTTCATTAGCATTGTTCCTTCACTGGTACGTTTGAGTGCCACCAATGCCTTCATCTTACGTCTTGCCGGCGGAGGAATGGTTCGACGATACCATCTCCTTTGTCCCTGCCTCTCTCAAACCCCATCACTTCTAGCTCATCAATCATGTTCGTTCCTCCAAATGTTGCAGACAATCATGTGGTGTGCATCAGTCTTCGTCATAAGTGAGCTTATCCATTTTCTGTGTTGCATACGCTAGTCACAGATCGAGGCGAAGGCGGGCAGCAGCAGCACCACACTGATGGGTGGAGACAGAAAAGCCCGAGGACCTAAGCCTGTTTTGTTTGGCTGATAAGTCATGGCTGAAAGTACTATTAGCTGGTTTGGTGTGAGAAAAAAATACTGTTCATTAACTGATAAATCATGATTTATAAACCGAATACGACCAAGCGAACAAGCTGCTAGAGGCCAGGACAAGACAGTGGTCGTGGGCGCTACTAATGACAACGTCGCCGCCATGCCATAGTCCAGCAACAACGGCGCGGGCGTTCTACCCTATTTAGAGCATCCTCCAATGTGAACTGCAGATGGTCATGAACACACCAGCTCCAAGGATCAACAGGCGGCCTCCACTGCCGCCACCATGTTTCTACGAAGACAACCTAGCTTACGAGACCCTATAGCATTGCCACAGTATGGTTAGGGATGTCTTCTGCCTACTGGCCAAAACAAGGAACAATCGAGCACATGCTTGGCACCTTTTTTTGAAAAATGCTTATAAAAATGTAGAAAAAAAAGATGTTTCTACGAAGGCAACCTAGCTTACGAGACCCTATAGCATTGCCACAGTATGGCTAGGGATGTCTTCTGCCTACTGGCCAAAACAAGGAACAATCGAGCACATGCTTGGCACTTTTTTTGAAAAATGTAGTAAAAAAAGATTCAGCATAGCGTTATTGCATCTTTTTCAGAACAATTATACTTGTTTCATTTCAAACGCTAAGATCTATAGGGTAACAACTCGATGCCAAGATCTACGGCGTCGAGCTCGGCGTCGAGATCTATGTCGCCGATGACTTGTCCACGTCGGCGCCAGGTTACCGACACGTCCGACTCCTCGCCAAGACCTCGGCGCCAAAAGCCATGGCGCCGAGGTCAGGGTCCATAAACCAAAATCAAACCAATAACGGTCTATTTGTGAATATTTTTCAAAAAAGGCTGAAAAAAAATCGTCCCACAAGGTTGCCCAAGAACACTTTACGGCTTGTGCTGCATCCGAATTAGAGAAATCAGTAATTTAGCCACCTTTCTTGAATGTGCCAAAAAAACTGAGGAACCACTAAACTAATAGGCAGCAATTACACCCTTAGAATAGAGGACAGGCAACTAACTGCGAAAACTAGTATCCTTGAACTTCACTGTTACACCTGCCTGTTCGCTTGAACTTATCAGCCGGCTTATCAGCTAGAATGTACAGTGTTTTTCTCTCAAAACAAATCAGCTTCAGCCGGCTTTAATTTGTAAGGCCTAAATTTCCAAAAGAAAAGGGAATAGAAAAGGAAAAAAATACGGTGTAGATGACCAAATCTTGTAAGCTATTATACCAGGATAGAAAAGGAAGTGAACTATGAACTCAAACAAAATGTTTTGACTCTTAAAAGCTGTGAGGTCACTACAGCCTGAGGGCGCTTAGTCCTTGATTGTCTATGTAAGAGCCCGGTAGGGGGGGGGGGCTCTAGGTGTAACAGAACCGACCAAATCATAAGAACGTAAGTATAAAAATAATCACCGAAACGATCAAATTCCTGTACTTAAGCTCCCATAATCCCGGTAGTCCGGAAATCACGAAGGATTTCAACCAACTCTCGACATACAAACCAAAATCGTAGTGATTCAACACAACACATCATCTGTTACAACATTTCATAAGTAGCATTCGGATTACATCCATCAGAGTTCAAATAAAATATTACAAACCAAGTTTAAATGCGCGGAAGCAACATAGTTTAGTACATAACTTCATAGTTTCAAATACATTGCCAGATCAGAGTCATGTCCCACAAAAGCATTATCAGGTACGAGAACTAGTAGAGACCGCGCCCAACGGCCTAGTCTTCATCCCGGTGGGAGAAAGCAAGATTTGCAACAACCAAAGAAGAACTGGTCATCTCGCAGCAGGTGGGAGATAAACCCTGAGTACGAGAAGGTACTCAGCTAGACTTACCCGCCAAAAACTAGAAATAAAAGACACCAAGGATCATGCAAGGCTTTTCAGGTGGGCTAGCTTGACACAGCTTGCATCAAAGAGCTTATGATTATAGTAACCAATTTAAACTTAGCATCATGCTTATCATTATTTGCCCGTCCACTAGATTAGCTTTTGTACTAGAGCACTCACTTATTATGAGCAAACAATATTAACCATAGCAGGTATAATAATTTGTCATCATCATATCATCATTTCCGAACCATTAAGTTATTAAGTGTATCTACATTGGAGATAAGCCCGTCAAGTTCTCACTAACCGGGGAGAGGCGGCGACTCGAATCGAATTACAACTCGGTGAGGGGTATTCTAACTCTCACCCTGGCATACTTTGCAAGGGTAGTCTGTGGGTCACCTTTGGAACATCTCAGAACCAAATTGCGCGGGTTCGATCAGCGCCAAGACTCTCGTGGATTACCCTTCCGCCAGACGATCAGGACTTTTCAATCACACCGCCCTTGGACTCACTCGGCTCCTTCCGAGGCGCACTTTATACTTATCGACTCCCGGTGCGAGGTGAGCTACTCGGCTTCGTGGTCGGTCTCGAGACCCGCCAACTAAGAGAGAGGCATGCGTTCAACATGAACAGGAAAGGCTCCAAGATTCGGTCCTTAATCGACACTGCACGGAGTCATCCTTGCAAACCAAGCAAGCCTCCGTCCGGTCTTCATTTCAAATTAAGACTGATTCTTTTCCACGATAGCAAATATAGCCAACCGTGCCACATGTATATTCCTATATCTCGCAGTGGAAATCACCCGACTTCTACCGCGTTTAAGCGTGGCTAAGCACTACACGAGCCT